TGTCACAGTAAGAAAAACACAGGTGTTACTAATAACAAGGGCTCCATTTTGTTTAGGTGTCCCAGTTAGCCATGGCAGCGTGACAGTGAGCCAGCAGGCACAATACTGGGACCCTGAAACTGAAGCAGCTTAATATAATTCAAACCATCATCAAATTTATTATATATGTGCCTTTCCTACTGTGATATGTCAAAATGTCTGAGAAAAAGGCTTATTGTGAGACTACTTTAGGGATGCAATAAACAACAATTAGCCGTACACCAACCTTTGAAGCCTGCTAAATTGCATCTACTATATGTGAAAATACAGTGGAAATAACAGTCTGCTTGGTACAAACCTGATTGGCCAGGCCATGCAGAGGACCAGCCAGACCATTCATGGCAGCACTGAAGGACAGGTAGGGGTCAGACAGGGCACTACCCACCAAGTGGCTGGTGTGGGCACTGACGTTGCCTCCTTCATGGTCACTGTAAACAACAACAAACAACAAAAACAATTACAAATCCAAACTGGCATTCATTACACTGAAATTGCTCCTGAGCAGTTCCAAATTATTCATGCATCAAATATTTTTAAGGTTGGTTTTTTCATTGGTACTTCAAGAAATCTGAAAATATAGTTTTGTCTCCTCTAAAGTACCTGGTACTTCTCACTGTGTTCCTAAATGTTTTTATTTAGGAGCACATTTACTCCTTGGGGATAAAGTTGGTCGAGCCCTGCATTTACCCTCCGTGTAATAAAAAATAAATATATTCACCAGCACTCTGATATTGGGTCACTTTGATAGCACATGTTCTGCTTGTGGCACTGGTTTGATGCCTACACTAACCACAGATTGTGGGTAGCAGCCAATTCAGGCTAGCAGGACTGTTTGAACAGCAGAAGTTGCCTCACACACTGCAATGATGAGGATTCTCCTGTGAACTTTGACAAGCTCGTACATGGCGTGGTGTTATGTAAGCCTAATAGTGGACAACTATTTGAGTTAAACTGATGTTTTGTTCTTTTTTTATTGCACAATTCTGGATATATATATATGCCTTTATACAGCTTATGTTAGAAATACGTGTTCTTAAACTCCATGAATAAAACCAGTATTATCTTAGCCCTTGGGCACAGAAAAAGATTCACAATTTAAATTGGATACCACTTTAAACTGTGAATCTTTGGGAAAACACTTCATCTAAGTTTTGCTTCAAGCTCAACATTTAATTTACATTAAAATTGCATGACTTTGATCCAAGTGTGACTAGAAGAATAAGTGGAGCATAAATCCTCAAATTGCTGAGAACCCCATTTCAAAGCTAGTTTATAATCTAAAAAAGGTATGTGTTCAAGTTGCACCTGTGGATGGTGAGGTAGAGCCTCATTAGCTCAGTGAATTGGGCATCGCTGTAGCCCAGCATGTTGGAGAAGTTGTGGGACCAGTCCAGGTTGGAGTCGATGGCTCCGATACTGCTGCCTTCGCGATACAGGTTGCGGTAGATCTTTGCAGCAATGCAGGGCAGCTTGGCAATCAAGTCCATGGAGTCCTCATAGACAAACTAGAAGAAACAATGTAAAAAGGATTTGGAAAGAGGGCATGGAACCAGACCAAAAGTCTACAGCCATGCTAACAGCCCTGTGAGGCTGTAACACTCTTTACACAACTGAAAACAACACTGTGGATTCATCATCTTTGGACCATGAATATCCGTACCAAATTCAATCCATCCAATAGTCAAGATATTTTAATTTGGACAAACATTTCCACTCTAGTGCCAAGTCACCAGCTTGTTTTCAGATGTGTTTTCTGTGTGTCCAGATATGATCTCACCTCCCAGTACTTGGTCTTGTGGACACCCTCAGAGTAGGCCCGTGCAAAGCTGCTCTCACTGTTCAGAGCTGTGATGGCAGCACTGAACTGAGACATGGGGTGTAGGTTTGTGGGGAAGTTATCCAACATGGTGACAACGTGAGAGGGAAGCGCTGCTCTCTTCGCCCACTCTTTGGACACCCAGTTCACCTGGAGGAACAGGAGCACACAATATAAGTGGGTGACCTGAGATTTTCACTTTCATGTTCTTTCTATGTCATGTTTTTACATTTTGGAAATGTGTGCAACAGGCACACATACAAAGATTTGGTTGTAACTGTACTTTTCCACCAAATATGACTATACACAACAACAGTGCCAAGAAAGGGCCTAAGCTGTTCAAGTATAAGGTTTGGTTTATTTCACGGAGGGGGGGAAAAAAATGATCAAACTAGCTTCATTAGCTGACTTCTTCGAGTCAATTGCAGATCATATCAAAGGGCAAAGAGGTGAAAGCTATCTTCAGTGAAAAGATTCAGCTCAAAGGTGAAGGCTTATCAGTCACTTAATCCTTATTTCACTCTTCCTGGAGATAGCTATCAGAAATAAAATGCCTATTTAAGTCACAAATGTCCTCGTTTCCCAGTTATACAACATCTCAACCTTATATAAGACTGTTGTAAGACCATGTCATACATAATTGACAGAGTCATATCCAGCCGAACATCTTTTGATCACCCTTCCCATGTTAACAAGTCAATAATAATCATTAGAGCCCAGCCGATACGATCAGCTGATATTATCAGCTGGTATTATATCGCTATCTGTGTATATGTTAAATAATATGGAAACTGTTTCCCGGTATACAATGCAGGAAAAGAATGCTTGTGGTAATATAGTGCTGTCACTGCAAAGTCTATCCAGCAGGGTGCACTGCAATGTACAATACAGGTCTCAGCAATGTCAGCAAGAATTGGTTGACAATATAAAGGTTAAATTATTTAACATGTTGAAGAATATTTGACTTAAATATTATAAAGTTATATGTTTCAGAAAGCAGCCTTCTGAGTTCCTTTGTATGTTCATACTGGTGCAAAGTTTGTGAACAATATTTTATTTTCACTGTAGCTCAAAAAGTCACTATAAATGGTATTGGTGGGGCACTAGTAATCATGTTATCCCTCATATATTATGGAGTTCCTCTTTTAACTAATCATTAATCTGCAGGAATATTTAATTTTGAAAATGCTGAAACAGCGAAGGGACGTTGTGTCAAAATCTGACGAGCAGTGTTTGAGATACACTGACAGATGGACGTAGAGAATGAACAGCTGCAGCTCCCTCATTATAGCTCTATTGTATTCTTTGTAGATTCAGCGCTCCTGTTCCACTCACCTGCTCCTCAGTGGGCACCTGTCCTGTGACCAACAGCCAAAAGAGACCCTCGGGCAGCGGCTCCTCACCTCCTGGAGCTTTAGGCAGCAGCTTCTGACACTCTGGAATGCTGTAGCCCCGGAAACGGATACCCTGTGTATCAACAGAGAGACCAAGAGACGCAAAGGTGATTATACATATTCAACTTATCCTGAAATGGCCCATCAAGTGAGTGGGGGCAAGCTGCCAACATGAGCTCTAAGTCTAACCACTGAATTTTGATGATTCAATATCTCATTACACGTGATGGCCTGCTAGAAAAAGATATATAACAGCAATTCCACTCTGCCACTAAAGGCAGCTTCAGTAAGAAAGCAATCAAGGTAAGTGCCTTTGAGGCAGGCTAATCTCATACAGGCAAAGGGTGTTTAGACTATAAAGCCACTGTAAGAATCATAATGCTTGTGCCGCTTATGAGCCATACTGACCTCATCAGGATCCAACACGGAGGTCTCATACACCAGACCCTTCATTCCCCTCATACCTCCATAGACCTGTGGATGAAAACACAAGCATAGAAAAGACATTACATATTGAAAACTGTCTTATTAAGACGATATATACAGTTGTAAATAGAACAGTTATGTAAAGCCAAAATCGACTGACTGCTCTAAGTGGAGCAGAACAATTGCTGATCTTGGTTATCAATTGCTGCCATGTATTTTACAAAGACGGGAAGAAATAACCTAAATCCAATTCACAGTTAAGTGTGTAACATTATGCACTGGAATTAGAAAATAAGAATAAATAGACGCACATAACATCAGCTGAATGCTTACTTCTTGTTGTTGAAAGTGAAACAGACTCTTGTCAAGACCCCCAATTCTTTTTTTTCTAAAAAACCCAAAGGCAACTAGCCAGAGGTCAGAGATGAAGTGCGTGACAAACAGAGGAGGACGATGCAGTTGTTGCACTGCTGTGTGTGCGTGAGCGTATATGGGAGCTGTGCGAGTTGGCAGTGTACAGTAGAGGTTTGAGTGACTCAGCTAAAAACGCCTCCACTGGCAGGTATCAGTGCAGCTTCACATTGTGACCTCTGAGGGACACGACCGTACAGTGACACCTGACACAGTAAATAAGGCTGGACAGGCCTAGACAGATTAGGTGAAGCCAATATGCCACGTCTCATCTACGACAGGCTCCTTCCTAAAGAATTTATTTAAAGAATCTGGCTTTGTAGTTCTGATTTTATTTGAATCCCTTGACACATACCATTTATTTTGTCATAACATCCCAAGAAGTCACTCACCATGTCAACAGTAACCTGTCCTATGTTGGTTTTGCCATACTGTTGTTTAAAGTTCTTGATCCTGGTCTGTTCTTTAGGGATAAGATCTGCCAGAACATCCTTCAGATTCTGTAACAACACAACATTTAAACAGTCATGCCTTTGATCAAACATCTCCAAGCACAGAGACTAACACTTAAACATATAATCTGGAAACAATTACCAAAGACGTAGATAACTAGAGGCAAGTAAAAA